GGATTGCTCAAGGCTCACTGCTGGTTTCTGTAGAATCATGGCTTCTTGGAGTTGAGGAAGTTAGTTCTTGTTTTACATCTCGAAAAGTTAGAGTTGACTCTCATATTTGTCCATGCCTTACTTTTAGTTTTAAGTGTACAATGAGATGGAAGTTTCAGCATCATAAGATATTTATTATCCTTTCCTTCTCATCCAAGGCAATGTTGGCCAAAGTTCAAATGTGACCTGCACGACTTTAGTCTTGCTAAAGGTTGGTTGCAGGCATAGGCAGAGTGGAGTTTTACCTCAGCCTACAGCCAAGTCCTATGGTCACTACTAAACAGCTTCTTCACAGGGAGGCTCTCTCTCCTTGAAGAAGAAACGAGGGCCACAGCTTTCTCATCTCATTAAGGCACAAAGGGATGTTTCCTGTATTACTTTCTTAGGGCTGCTGTGAGAAATTAACTGCAAACGGTGGTGCAAAACAATGGAAATTTATTCTCTCACAGTTCTGGAAGACAAGTGCAAAATCAATATGTCACTGGCAGGCCTGTGCTCCCTCCAAAGGCTCTAGGGGACAATCCTTTGCCTCTTCCACCTTCTGGTGCCTCCAGGCATTCCTTGACATCTTTGATTTATGGTCACATCCCTCCAATCTCTGTCTTCATTGTCACATCTCCCTCTCTTTTATGTGTTTTCTCCTCTTTGGTCTAATAAGGATACTTGCCATTGGATTTAGGGCCCACCGTGATAATCTAGAATAATCTAAACTCAGGATCCTTAATTTAATCAGGTCTACAAAGATCCTTCTTCCAAACAAGGTAACATTCACAAGTTCTAGAGATTTGGACATGGACAGACCATTTTTGGGGCCACTGTTCAACCCACTACAGTTCCTCTATTCTCTAAGACAAATATGAAATGGCTAACAGACGTGATTTCTGGATAAATAGAGACTTCTTACAGGGATTTAGTAAACATTGCATTCTCTCTACTTTTCCTGCCGTGGTTATAATTTATTTTGTAAGAAGGGCACACCAACATCAATGTGGATCATAGTCACAAATTTTACATTTCATTTTTTTTCCCTTAGAGAAAGGAGAAAAGAATCATTAACTCTATGGTGAATGCCAGGTTGTTTTCAAGCTCACAAAGATCAAAGGATCTCCCAGAATATTTCATTAGAAGTTGATCCTCACTTGGTAAGAGAGGAGAGAATGGGTTCTAATCAGAAGGTAGATGAAGATGAAAACCCACCTCTTTGCTTTAACTGTGACTTGACTTCAGTTAGCTAGACCCATAGAAATCTTAGGACTGAGGGAACTGTACTGGACACATTTGTGCATCATTTTTTGAAAATTGAGGTGAAATTCACATAACATAAAAATAGCATTTTAAAGTGTACAATTCAGTGGCCTTTTTTACACTGACAATATTGTGCAACATTCACCTCTGTCTTGTTCCAAAACATTTTCATCACCTCAAAAGAAAAGACTGTACTTATTAAGCAGATGCAACCCATTTCCAGCATCTCCCATCCCCTGGCAATCACTAATCCACTTTCTGTCTATGGATTTAGCTACTGTGGATATTTCATATAAATAGAATTATATACTATGTGACCATCTGTGTCTGGGTTCTTTTACTTAGCATAATGATTTCAAGGTTCATCCACATTGTAACATTATTAGTACTTCATTCTTTTTTCTGACTGAATAATATTTCATTGTATGGATTTAACATATTTTGTTTATCCATTCTTCAGTTGATGGACATTTGGTTTGTTTTTACCTTTTGGCTATTGTGAATAGTGCTGCTATGAACATTTATTTATGTGTATATGTTTGTATTGTATTCATTTATCAGATAAATGATTTGAAAATATTTCCTCCTATTCTGTAATGTGTTTTCACTTTCCTGATAGTGTCCTTCTATGCACAAAAGTTTGTAATTTTGATGAAGTCCAATTTATCTATTTTTTCTTTTGTTGCTTGTGCTTTTGGTATAATATCTAAGAACCCATTACCAAATGCAAGGTCTTGAACTTTTTTTTGCTAAGGAAGATTAACCCTAAGCTAATGGCTGTTGCCAATCTTCCTCTTTTTTTTTTGCTTGAGGAAGATTAGCCCTGAGCTAACATCTGTGACAGTCTTCTTCCACTTTATATGTGAGTCACTGCCACAGCTTGGCTGATGAGTGGTGTAGGTCTGTGTCCAGGATCCAAACCTGCAAACCTGGGCAGCCAAAACAAAGTGTGCCAAATTTAACCACCATGCCATGGGGCTGGCCCCTGAACATTTATCCAAATTTCTTTTCTATGAGTTTTAGCTTTTACATTCAGGTCTTTGATCCATTTTGAGTTAATTTTTATATATGGTGTACAATAGGAGTCCAACTTCATTATTTTGCATATGGGTACTATTTGCCCCAACACCATTTGATGAAAGATTCTTTTTCCTCCCATTTAATGGTCCTGTACTCTTGTCAAAATGAATTGATGATAGAATTTATTTCTGGACTCTCACTTCTATTCTATTGATCTACATGTCTGTCCTCAGGCTGGTACCACATTTTTTTGATGGTTGTAGCTTTGTAGTTAGTTTTGAAATTGGGAAATGTGAATCCTCCAACTTTGCTTTATTTTTTCAAGATTATTTTGACTATTCATGGTTGTTTGCACTTCTATATAAATTTTAGGATAAGCTTTTACATTTTTCAAAAAATGTCATTGGGATTCATATAGGGATTTCATTGAGTCTGTAGATTGCTTGAGGTAGTATCAATATTTTAACAATATTAAGTCTTCCAATCCATGAACATGGGATGTCTTTCCATTTATTTAGGTCTTTAATTTCTTTCAACAACATTTTATAATTTTCAGTGTATGTCTTGCACCTTTTTGGTTAAGTTTATTCCTATATGTTTCATATTTTTGATGCTATTGTAAATAAAATAATTTTCTTAATTTCACTTTCACATTGTTCATTGCTAGCATACAGAAATGTAGCTGATTTTTGTTTGTTGATCTTTATACTGAAACATGGCTGAATATGTTTATTAGCTCTAGTAGCCTTTTTGTAGATTATTTAGTGTTTTCTGTGTATAAGATCATGCCATCCGTGAATAAAAATAATTTTACTTTTTTCTTTCCAATTTGGGCACTTTTTAATTTTTTTCTTGCCTAATTACTATGGTTAAAGCTTCCAGTATGACAGTGAATAGAAATGGTGAAAGTGGGCGTCTCGTCTTGTTCCTAATCTTAGGGGGAAATCTTTCAGTCTTTTGCCATTGAGTGTAATTTTGACTGTGAGTTTTTCATAAATGCCCTTTATCACATTGATTATCATGAAATTTTTCTTCTAGTCCTGGTTTGTTGAGTGTATTTCTCATGAAAGGGTATTGGATTTTATAAAATCCTCTTTCTGCATCAATTGAGATGATAATGTGTTTTTTTCCCTTCATTCATTAATGTGGTGTATTATATTGATTGATTTTTGTATGCTGAACTCCTGTGATTCATTTTAAATCTTTAACACATTTTTCAACCATGGGTGTTGCTATCAGTTGCATTCGGGCTTTGATTTATTTCATGTAGATGCAAATTAATAATATTTCATCCACACATGGTGTAAGACCACCTGTGGGAACCTATTTGACACTCACACATGAGCACCTTGGAATTGCAAGGGAGGTGACAACATTCAGAGTGACCCTTGACCTCTGGGGAATGGGAACCCATGGATTAATGCTTCTCCTTTTCTTCCCTTGAGGATATGGTTCTGAAGTCAGTTTCACAAGGCTTCTCAGGAAGTCTTCCTAGAAAAAAGCAACCAGTTGCTCATAATGGTACTGACCTGATAATATATCATGGTATGTATTTTCTCTTCCCTTATCCCTTGATCATAGTTCCTGAAAGTGCATTAAAAAAATTACTCACTCAGGCATTTCTTTGATTCTTATTTTGGGGAGACTCAGGCCAAGACAGAACTAAGGAGTCTGCTGTACCTGTCTAGTGACATTGCATGAAGTAGAGGGAACTAACAAGCCATAGTGCAGCTCCTAACTCTTAGTCTTGCCACTTTTACCAGATGTCACATAGTGCTGTACAACTGTTTTGTTTTCATTTCTGGTGACTCTGCTACTGACTTTTGATGTTGGTTTTGAGTTTTAGGTAGTCTCTGAACCCCTTGAAAGTCCATTAAAGCTTTATGCTTTTCTCCTTTTGACTGTGAAGCAATCTTCTGTAATAACTATCTTCAGGAGTTGGCCCCATGGCCTAGTGGTTAAGTTTGGCACACTCTGCTTCAGCCACCTGGGTTCAGTTCCCAGGAAGGGACCTACACTACTCATCAATGGTCATGCTGTGGTGGTGTCCCACATACAAAACAGGGGAAGATTAGCATGGATGTTAGCTCAGGGTGAATCTTCCTCAAGCAAAAAGAGGAAGATTGGCAACCAATGTTATCTCAGGGTGAATCTTCCTCAGGAAAAAATTAAAAAAACAAATCTATCTTCATTAATTAAAAAGGGGTGACTTCCTACAGAGGGAGTAAGAAGGTGATTCTTAAATATACATGAATTTTGAGTGAATGGGAACTAATAATTGAAATAATAAATCTTACATTTTTTAAGCACTGTGTGTCATGTGCTGTGCTAAGTTTAATCCTAACCTCCCTATTGTGAAGTAAGGCTAGTATTAGCCCCATTTTACCTTTAAGAAACTTGACTCCAACTCAGGTGACACCAACTCTTCAAAGGTTGTTGTCTTAACCACTATATTAGATGGACTAAAGATGTTCTTTCTGTGAATGATTAAAGTTCTAATTATAAAATTCATGAAGTGTTTGAATGAATCTTCATAAAAAGCCAACACACCCTGCCTAAAATTCTGTCTTTCTTGAAATTAAAACTGAGGCCAACATAAAAAAAATTACAAAGGAGTTAAGTTTTGGAGTTAGAAAACCTGGTTTTACAGTATGATTCTGTTTTTGATGAAATCTTGAAACATAACAAAGCATAACAAAAAGTGGACTTGATTCTTTTGATGGTACACTCAGAGTTTAAAAATTTCAGAGTTGCTCCTGTGTCTGCACACTCAGAATCTGGAGATGTTAATTTTTTGTCATTTGGCTTCTAGATGTCCTTGGCCTCTGCACCCCTGTGGAATCCAGTTCATCTCCAATCCGTCAGAAAGCATCAGAGGTGGTTTTGATTCCTTATGTCCTGAGCCTGTGCACAAAATGTGTGAGTACACTGAGATAATGAGGTCAATTTTACTGCTGTCAAGGGTCTTCTAAAATTATTTTATAGTGGTTGTTGTATTGGAATGAACTCACCCTGTAGTTTCAGGCAGAGGAGGGAAGGACAATGTTTGGTTAAGATTAGAAAATATCTTTCTTGGAATTGTCTTATGTGTGTAGGCTCATTCTCTGCTCCAGAAAGGCTTTGATGGACATGACTCTGAGTTAAATCCAAGAAGTTTAACTCAGTGAGAAGCAAAGATTCTTTTTCAGTATAGTTATAAAATAGATTAAAAATTACCAAATGATAGACCGTATGTTTATTCACATATGAAACTTTCCCATTGCAGACTAGCATCACTTTCATTTAGTTTTTAAGAGGTAACATGTTAAAGGTCCTTTCTGACTCTGAGATACATTACTATCATCTCAAAAGAAAACTAGAACTTTGAAATATTTACTAGTAAAACTAGTGGTTACATCCGCAATTTAGAACTTTTTATGCTTCGGGAAATTAATTTTGGAATTGTTGCATATATTTGCACTGTGTGAGCATTGTTCAAATAGTTTTGGTTTGGGGGTATGTTAGTTGGGGAGACAAAATGATTATTCCTGCTGGGAAGAGTATTAGGTTTTATATTTTTTATTTCTAGGGATTGAGACAATGACTTCAGATGTAGGTTTGTGAGTTTTGCGCCAATTATTGAGTTTTCATTGCTTTGTGATGAGCATTTGCGTAGTTTGCTGGAAACTGGAAGGGGGCTGAATAATAACTTATTCCAGTTTATTTAATTTGGGGAAATAGCATAATTTGACTAATTCTATGTAAAGTTAAAGAGATTATATTTGAAAATAAGGGGTTGCTTGTTGTTTTTACTAAATGAATCTATTTCACTTTTTTTTTAAAGATTGGCACCTGAGCTAACAACTGTTGCCAATCTTCCTTTTTTTTTTTCCTTTTTCTGCTTTTTCTCCCCAAGTCCCCCCAGTACCTAGTTGTATTTTAGTTGTGGGTCCTTCTAGTTGTGGGCTATTTCACTTCTTAGCTGGACACTGAGCCTATTGTGGATTCCTGGCCCACAATACAACTTTCTGTCTTTCTCCTCTTTTGATCTACTCAAAGCAGAGGCCAATCCCCCCCAGCAGCCAGGCTTCCTGATGAAGTTTGAATTCATGAGCAAGTATGTTTGAAGCACTTTGGGAGGATTTGAGTTGAGGCTAGATTGAGGTGAAGAAGAATGTGTTTCTTTTTATACTTTAGACTCTTCCTGTAAGAATGAAAATGTAATCAAGTACTCTTAATTAAAGAACAATCACTAAATGGCTAAGCTCAGGAAATTTCCCCTGAAATCTTGTTCTCATTCACCTGGTTTATGTTTTATTACACTTACCAATTAGGGATTGTTGCAGGGACTAGGTACCCACTCAAACAAGCCCAAGTTAAAGTTTTATTGTAGGACTTCTGGGGAGTCCCAGGGGACCTTACAGTTATGGCAAGAATATTAATTTCTAGCCAGTTTTAATTTTAGGAAGAGGGTTAAACGTGACGGCCATTCTCTTATTTTGCTTCACAATTTTTAAGAGAGAGGCACATCTGTGACATTTATTTCATGAATCAGGTACAAATGACACCTTCAACAAACAACAACACTTCCTGCGTAATCCAGCTGTCATTGAGGAAGTATGTCAGTGTATTTCAAGAGCTTTTCAAGTAAATCACTTAGCAAAACTTTGTCAATGGAGTTGATTTAAATATTTCCTCTCTTAGAGTTTCCTGCAACCGTGCTTTAAACATTAAAGTGATGGAATTTTCTTTCAGATCAGTCATTGAACACACTAAGTCACTTTTTTCAATTTTCAAGTCTTCTCCCTTTGATAATCCATGTGTTTACTCTTCAACCATTACCCGTTTCCATGTTAATACGTCAGATACATTGAGTTCACCTTCTATTGGCATGCCTTATTGTGATAGGCACATCTATGTTAAGTGAATCAGTTTCCCTTTCAATCCTTTTAGACATTATTTTTTCTTGCTGATGTCCATCCTAGGGCTCTCATCATCATTCTGGGGCTTTTCCTTTGTCTTTTTCCTGAGCTGGGTCCCTCCTTCCTGAATCTCTTCCTTGATTTACTGCCAACTTTTCAGTGGAGTTCATTTTCCAGAAGATTGCTGAAAAGAATACATAGGAGGTAAATTTTTTGTGGCCTTGAATATACTAGAATATCCTTTTTCTATAACTACACTTGATTTACACTTATATTCTATAAGTTTATTGACCAGCTACTGAATTTTAGATTGGAAATAATTTTCCCTCAAAACTTTAAAGGCTTCCCTTCATTATCTTTTAGTTTTTGTATTTCTGTCCAGAGACCTAACACCATTCAAATTCCAGAATCTGTTTTGGTTTCTCTCTTTCATGCTAGAAGATTTCTCCAGATGTTTGGTGATCCTGAGCTATCTCTCTATATTTAAGAGTATAAGGGCTTCATAATTATTTCGAAAGCCTTTATGATGCGGATGTATTAATTGGTGTGATTGGGTGGCAACATGGCTTTTTAACTGAGAGATCCTAAATCTCATATACGGTATGTCCATATTTTCTATGGGCATTTCAGTTTCCCTAGAGAGGACTTCTCCAATTTTATGCTTGGAAGGTAAAAGCCTAGTGGTCTGTGTTCTGGAAACTAAACTAGAAAATGACTTGCAGGTCTCACCATTCAGTACTGGGATTTGCATTTCATCCTCTGTCACTCAGTAGAGCTTCCTACCCTGTCTTCTGCTATACAGACTGTAAACCTCTGATCTTCTGTTGGTGTCAGGGATGGGATCTGACATCTGATTGTTTCTTAGGTAAACTTTCCACTAGTCCTCTTGTTTTATTCATATACGCTTTCCCTCCAATGCGAACATCTCACCTTCAGAGATACCTGGTGTTTCCATATCCTGAGACCTTCCGGGCTTTTAAGGTACAAGTCTCAGCTTCCTATTGGCTTCCTTCAATTCAGCTTGAAGTTTTAGCTAAGCAGTTACTATTCATCCATCTATCTTCAAGCATTTCAGGAATGTTTTTTATATTGCCTATCGGGTATCTTCTTGTCTCCTATTTTCTTTTCCTCTTCTCTCCTTCTTTTCATCCTTATGAGTTTTAAAATTCTTTTACTGTCAGTTTAGTGTGGTTTTGCAAGGGGAGGAATAAATAAATACATGCATCCACTGTCGTTCATAATCAGAAGTTCATAAAATATCTTAAAGCAGTATATGCAAAAGATAGTGACACCATCACAGTGTGACATTAATTCAACTGAAAATGTTATCAATTTATCACTATAATATCTGCAAGTCAAAGAGGGGATAAATACTCTGAAAGCATAAGGGCCTGCCTTTCCCAGCTCTAGTGTTGTTTTCTCAGTAGAAGAGCTAATTCACCTGAAACCTTTACAGAACCTCCTGCCTGAGTTCCCCAGTTGCACTTCGCATATCCTTCTGTTGTAATACTTACTACAGTTTCCCCTAACTATCTGTTTATTTATCTTTTACTCACTAAGCTCCAGCTACTTCAGGGCAAATATTAAGCCTTATTCATCTTTGTGCCCACTGGGATTAGCACAGCGTTGAGCAGGTAGTAGCTGTTCCATACATGTTTACTAAAAAATGTTGAATAAATGTCAATAATTTGCCTACATTTTCAGGGAACTCAATGTCTCATATCTAAAGTAATTACTTTCCAGTCTTTTCCTCTTCTCTTCTTCGTATCTCCCCCACTGCTAACAAGCAAGATATACTTTTACTCATCACTTGGACTAAATGAATACAGATATATTTTAGAATATTTCTATTGCCTACTTAATTTTTACAATTTAACTGAGGCTGTTTAATCATTTGAGGTGTTTTGCTTTTCAAAACAATTTTTTTCTCCATAATGGAGCAGCATAGTTTTTTATATGTTGGCCATTTACTGGCATTTATCCAAACATTCTTGCCTGTGAAGATAAAGATGGATGGTATAGGTGGAGGCCAGGCTTAGACACAATTGTTAATTAAATGTAAGAGTCATGTGTTATCTTCAGGACATTGTACTTAGCAAAGTTTGGAAATCAGAATGAGTAAGAAAAAATTCTGCCGTTAAGAAGCTTACATTATAATAAGCGAAAAATATAGGATGGTGCTCTATAAAAAGGTGAAAAATAATGAGGATATGAAAGTCAAAAGAGGGAGAGCTCACAAATATATGGAATCAAGAAGGGTACTTTAGGGGGAAGTAGCGTTTCAAATGTACCTTGAAGAATTGTGGAAAGGAGAGAGAATCCAAAGAGGAAGCATGAGAAATTAGAGTGAGAGGCCAAAAAATAAAATAACAAGATATGTTTGGTAATAGGAAGTAATTAGTTTATTTGGCTAGAGAGTAGAGTAGAGGACTTATAAGGATATATGGAAAAAAGAGCTAGAAAATGTAGGCTGAGCCTTTTTTTTTTTTTTTGAAAATTTCTTTTTTTTTTTTTTTAAAGACTTTTTTTCCTTTTTCTCCCCAAAGCCCCCTGGTACATAGTTGTATATTCTTCGTTGTGGGTCCTTCCAGTTGTGGCATGTGGGATGCTGCCTCAGCGTGGTTTGATGAGCAGTGCCATGTCCGTGCCCAGGATTCGAACCAACGAAACACTGGGCCGCCTGCAACGGAGCACACGACTTTAACCACTCAGCCACGGGGCCAGCCCCTAGGCTGAGTCATTTTGTAGAGGACTTTGAATGTCAGGCTAAGGTATTTTTGCTCAGTGAGGTAGCCAATGGTGAGACACTGAAGGTTTTAAGCTAGGGAAAATAGTAATATTTGAATTATAATATAAGAATATTAGTGAGGCACATATATCAAAAGAGAAGATGGAAAGACCCATTACAAAGCTACTCCTGTAGCCTGGGAAGAAAAAATGAGCTAAAAAGAGTGAAGAACAGAACATAACTTTTTTTTTTGAGGAAGATTAGCCCTGAGCTAACATCCATCGCCAATC